GACCGCAGAGCCACGCCCACTTCGCTGTTCAAAAAACTTCGTCATTTTCGTTGCATTTTGGTTCTTTTTTATATTTTAAAATAGTTTTCTTGCACCGATTTGGGAAAAAATTAGGGGAAACATACAATCGGCTATGCTTAACAATCCTACATAAAAAGGAAATAATGAGAAATAAGAAATAAGAATGTATGACGACAGTTTTTTAAAAACGCATTTGTGGCCGAAAACGGATAAAAAAATCCCGTTTTTTTCTTGAAAGTTTCTGGGCAACTTTTTTTCATTTTTCGAATATTATAAAGCAACTAAAAAAACGCATATTCTGGCAAAAAAAATAAAAAAATTCTATGGTTGGCCTCAAAAAAATAACGCAATTTGAAAATCACGATTTTTCGAAATTCCTTATTTTTCGAAAAAAACACAATCGATAATTACTGATTATATTTTTTTAAACGGTTGTTTGCAGCGGTTTGCAAATTTTAAAAAAACAGAAAACTAAGTTTTTTTCATCGACTATATAGTTCATATGAAAGCTTAAAGTTTTTTTGTTTTTTTGTAACGCTTTGAAAACGGCCCAAAGCGTTCTGGGCAAGTTTTTTTATTTTTATAATATCAAAGATTAGACATTTCTCTACAACATATCAAAAAAATAAAAAAAATTCCAAGGATGGCCCGAAAAGTATGGTTAATTTGAACGCTCAAATTTGATATTAAAAAAATTGCGCGTCGCTGGAAATCTGCAGACACCACGGAAGGCCCGAAATTTTTTTCGAAAGCATGAAAAATTTTTTTAAAAATTGTTTTTTTGTATTTCATTAAAGTTTGCAATGAGTTATGATTACTTTATTGTCGTTTTTAGGCAAAACTTTTACTCCTTTTACAATTAGAAATTCTTTCCAGCGTATTTATATCCATTATGGCAGCAAAATATTAAATTTCGCTTTTTATTAAAATTTTTTTCGAATTTTTCACAGAATCTCATGAAAAAAAGGTCTACAAAATCATCCATGTACACGCCATGTAGACGCACATCGTTCAAAGAAAAATGAAAGATGTGAAAAATCAAAAGTAAAAACGCTTTCGCCCTTTTTTTTTCAAAAAGTCTGTGAACAATGACTTAGTGATTATACATATTCTTCAGTAAATGTTTATGTAGAATTTCGCATTTTTTTTAATTCGGTTTTTCGCTGTTCCTTCTATGCAATAGTCTTATTTCGTCGGTTGTTCTCTTATTTTTACGAAATTCATTGGAAATATTCTTCCAAACTCGCTTTTTCAGCAGTCTGAGTGCTCGAAGAGCAGCCCCATATTGAATAGGAAAAAGTATTCAATATGAAAAACTCCAACATTTCATTTAAAAAAACGCAAATTAATATATTTTTCGAAACTTTTTCCGGGGTGTATTTACGCGCAGCAAGGAACGCGCGGTATCTATAAACACGCCCCTTTTTCCTGCGACCCTGACGAAAGTTTCTACACAAAAAAATGGTTCCCCCGATTTCGCCACTCTTTTTGCTCATAACTTTTTTTCATTTTTTTCATATTTTTTTCTTTTCTGTTTTTCGCAGTTAGCTCTCGATTGCCATCAGCTTTCTTTTCATATAGGTTTCAACTTTATACCATAAACTTTGGAAATTGGCCTGCGGTCCCTAAATAAAGTTATGAATTTCCAAAATTTCAAAATTCAAGTTTTTGGATAAAGCTTGATCGACTGAAAACATAAATCATTAGAAAGCTGAGGACAAGAGAAATCGAATGATATGATTAGATAAGCTGTAGCTGCTCTGGGAGCCGAGATATAAGCTTCCAAAATTTGTCATAAAAAATAAAATTGCGCGTGAGATAAAATAAGTCGCGTGAAGTTGAGCGTCGGGTCAAGTGCTGGTCTGAGGCCGGATCGGTGTGGTTTCCTCGCGAAAAAGGAAAAGCTCAAAATAAAGTTGCGTTTTTCAAGTTTTTTCTAGTTCAATCGATAGAGCAGCTTCTATATAGTACTGTTATCATATCAGTTCTGAGGGAAAAGCTTGAAAAATGGGAGAAAACCAGATCCGAAAAAATGGTACTTTTTGAACTTTCAAGCTTCATAACTCTGTTCATTTTTAAGTTACAGAGAAACTGACTACATCAATCGATTCGTCTCATCATTCGCTTTCGAATGGTACAAGTTTCAACTAGATCAAGCTCCATACAGAAGCTTTAGACTCAGCTAAGCTTATAACTAAGCTTTTTGATAAGATATCAGTTATCAAATTACACAGATTTGTTCGTCTGCGTACGCTGTATGGATTGTTCATCAGTTCAACTTTTTCGAAGGAAAAGCTGAGATGTAAGCTGGAAAATTCGATGACGTCGTTCAATCTGATAACAGTTATCAATGTTCTGAATCATTAGAAAGATGATGAAGAGACAAATCGATTGATATAATCAGTTACTCTGTAGCTTGAAAATGAACGAAGTTATAATGCTTGAAAGTCTCAAAAAGGTGGTTTTTTTTGGACCAATTTTTATGCTGATTTTTGAGCTTTTCCTCGGAACTAATACGATAACAGCGCTATATGAAAGCTGCTTTATCGATTACACTAGGAAAAAGTTGAAAAAATCAAACTTTATTTTGAGCTTTTCCTTTTTCGCGAGGAAACCACACCGATCCGGGCCTCAGACCAACACTTGACCCGACGCGTCACTTCACACAACGTATTCGATCTGACGCGCAATTTTATTTTTTAAGACGAACTTTGGAAGCTTTTATCTCGGCTCTCAGGGCAGCTATAGCTTATCTAATCACATCAATCGATTCGTCTTGTCGTCAGCTTTCGAATGGTACAAGTTTCGAAAGAATCAAGCTCCATCTAGGTGCTTCAGACTTGACTTTCCTGAGCTTATAACTCAACTCTTTGATAAGATATCAGTTATTGAAATACATAGATTTGTTCGTCTTTGGATGCTCTATCGACTGATAGTTGGCCCATCTTTTTGGAAGGAATATCTGAGATGTAAGCCAAAAATTTTCATGACGTCATCCAGGATGGTTGAAGTTCTAAGAGATTCGTATCATTCGAAAGTTGTCAACTGTTGTTCGAAGGGAGAAATCAACAACTTTTCAGCTCTATCAATATCGGCTTCACGTTTCAAAATGTTGAAACAATGAAAAGGTGAGTATCGGGCGAATTTAATGAAATTGATTAGGTAACTTGAGAAGTCACTTTTAGAAAAGTTTTGAGGCTTGAAATTCGCTTCTTTAAAACCTTTTTTCATTTGAAGAAGATGCTTTAATGAATATTCATCCAAGTCGTAGGGAATTCTCAAAGATTGTAATTTTTGCAAAACGTTTTTCATTCTTCATTTTCGATCCTCGTCCAAGCTTCCATCAAAATTTCTTCTTCTTTCTTGCACAATCCATAAGTTTATTAGAGATTAGTCAATGAGAACAATCGAAAAAACACGCAAATAACAAGGTAAAACGTAATCAACAATAACTGACATGAAACTGTATGAAAGTCAACAAAAACAACTTGAAAAAATCTCGTGGAGAAAAACATGAAAAAAGATCAGAAATGGTACATGAAAATTATTAAACAAAGAGTAAAAAAAAGAAATTAAAGTGGGCGGAGTCTCTTCAAAAGTAGGCGGAGCTTCGATATTCTGAAAAAATGTGTAACTTTTTAGCAATTGAGGAAGAAGCAGAAGATTTTTAAATTTTGAAAGTATGAAAAATCTATTTTCAAATTTTTTTTTGATTTTTGATGGAAAAAAAAAGTTTTTCAAGCTTAAAATGAGGAATAGATGTTACAGTCGTTCGAAAAATCTTGAAAAAAATTTTAAAGGCGCGGGGCGTGGCTTGAGCTGACGGCTTTTCGCGTCGAGACTATTATTAGTTCTCCTATGCTCCTTTAATCAATTTTGAATTCAACAACTTTTAAACAACATCTGACTCAATTTTTTGATCCGTACAAAAAAAAGAATTTTGACCAAGTATAGTCAATGTTTCCCGACTTAAAAGGCGAGGGAGGCGGGGCAGGTGGCGGGACGCGTAGCGTGTGCGTTCGCGGTTCTTGGCACGTGTTCCATTCAACCGCCATCTACTCTTTGAAAAGCCCGTTTTTCGCTCTTTTCATCCTTTTTCAATCATTTATTGATTATGTTCATGTGTTCATCAAAAAATAGTAGAAAACATTGAAAAAGAGCGGTTGCCGAGCTTTTTAAATAGCAAATGAATTGAGCTCGTGCCAAGAACCGCGAACGCACACGCTACGCGTCCCGCCCCCTGCCACGCCTCCCTCGCCTTTCAAGTCGGGAAACATTGACTATATCTTAGTGCTCACTAAAGTGTCTGGGTAGACTGGCAAGGATTTTTTTTCCTTTTTTCGAAATTTTTTTCCATTATTTTTCAATTTTTCGATTGTTTTGCAAAAAAAACTTACTGAAATGAATACAAGTATAAAAATTTCTTTCTTTATATTTTCCCCAGTACTGCGTTTGACCCTGACAAGCGAAATGACCATTTTACTTTGGGGTTGGCAATTTTCTGAAAATGGCCGGAACGTTTCTTGTCGTACCTGAAGAAGATTCTCAAAGTCCCAACCAGCACAACTTTTTAGTTTTTGAGAAATAAGCGCTCAAAGCCTAAAAATAGCCCTTTTACGGATTTTTAGGGTTTTCTTCGACTTTGAGGTGTCCTTTCTCAAAAACTTGGAAGTTGTGCTGGTTGAGACTTACAGGATCTTCATCTGGTACATTAAAAAGTGTTTTGACTAATTTTCAGGAAATTCCCGAGTTAAATGACCTCCTTGTAAGCTTCCCGCCATATTAGCCGCGTCGCGTACGCAACGCGTCACCCTTGCCAAATTACCCATCTCGCCTTTCGTATACTTTTTAGTCCGTTTTTGGCGCCTTTAAACGGCAGGACTTCTCTGCGACCCTCTCATATTGACGTGATATTTCCTCGTTTCTCTGCCTTCGAGGGAAAAGAGACACGAAAAGTTTCAACAATTATTTTCCACTCACTAGGCCCAGAACATGTGATGGAAGCGTCTGATGAGGCCGGCGACGCCGTCGGCCAGCACTCGGATCCGAGCGTTCAGGGCGCGGTCCTCGTAGGCGACGCCGCTCCGGGCGCTCTCGATGGCCTCCGCCTGGCGGGCGCGCCTGTCCGCCTCGCTCTCGTCGCTCATGTTGACCATTCTGGAAGATTCCCAGATGTTTTTTCTTAATCAAAAGGATTTTTTCGATTGCTGTGAATAAGCCTATTGTCTTTCGTATGGGGAGAAATTGAATAAACCTGTTATTATTATTATAAGATCTCGTAAAAATTGGCCATCCTCCTCTTTTTCAAAACTTGAATTTTATGTATAGTCCAAGGACCTCTAAAAGCCTATAAATGTCTACCTCCAACTGAAAAAAGCTTGAGATTTGCAAAATTCAAAAAAAAATTGTTTACAGAAAGTTCGCTCCACCGAAAAAAAAAAGTTGTAACAACCTGGTTACTTGGACTTTGGTAGTGCAAACCGGACGAGCTAGGGTAGTTTCTGAGGGGGCCTTTCTAGGGTCGTCCGTGCTCTTAAGTGATCCCTTGAAATGTCCAGAAACGTCCGGAGCATTTCCGTTTCGCGTTACCAATGTTTGAGCTCTGTGACGTCGGTTGCGCGAACCGGACACTCTAGAGAAGTTTTTGAGCATTTCTAGGGACCACTCTAGGGTCGCCCGCACTCTTAAGAGGCCCCTAAGACTTCTCAGACACGTCAGAAGCGTTTCCGTTTCGCGTTACTCAAGTAGTGGTACCTCGGTTACACAGAGAAGTTTTTGAGCATTTCTAGGGAACACTCTAGGGTCGCCCGCACTCTTAAGAGACCCCTAAGACTTCTCAGACACGTCAGAAGCGTTTCCGTTTCGCGTTACTCAAGTAGTGGTACCTCGGTTACACAGAGAAGTTTTTGAGCATTTCTAGGGACCACTCTAGGGTCGCCCGCACTCTTAAGAGACCCCTAGGACTTCCCAGAAACGTCCGAAGCATTTCCGTTTCGCGTTACCCAAGAACTGGGACCTTGGTTACACGAACCAGACGCTCTAGAGAAGTTTCTGAGCATTTCTATGGGCCACTCTAGAGTCGTGCGCACTCTTAAGGGACCCCTAGGACTTCTCAGAAGCGTCCGGGGCGCGTTCGGTTTCAGTAACCGAGGTCCGAGACGTTTTTTTGCCATTTCAAAACGGAGCAAACTTGAAAAGCTTTTTAAAACGACGATCTGCTTCTCTAAGAAACTTTTCAAACTTCTAAGAGCCTTCTGAAGACCAAGATTCTCTGAAGAAAAAAGAAGTTCCCACTTGAAGGCCATCGTGTTGGCGCGGCCTCTTTTGGCCGTATTTTCGGCGGCAAACATGACGCCGGTGACTTTCGGCGCGCCCATGTAGCTGACTTGATGGCCGAACGCCAAGATGTACGTCATGTGGACGATTTCGTTCTTCGACGAGCCCGATTCGTTCAGGATGATCGTGTGGCGGATCGGCCGAGAGGTTCCCTGGAATATGCATTTGAGTTTGAGACGGAGTTCGTAAGGGGGGACGGCGCAGACAGGCAGAAAGACGCAGACAGGCAGAAAGTTTCAAGCAGCGGCAAAAAAAATCTTCACTTTTCTATATAAAAAAAAAGAAACTGATTCAAGACTAGCTTAGGGGCGTGGCCTGTCTGCGCTCTCCACCAATCAGGCGCTGTCTATTTTTTTAAATCGTGTCAGGACCCATTTCTCGAATCCAGTCGTAAATCAGCCCTAATCATAAAAAAAGTTAATTAATTTAAAATTTTAGATTGAAAAACTCGTTTTCTGTTACTATTCTTTTTATCGAATCTTTTATATGAATTTCACTAAAAAGATCAAATTCAAGAAAATCGGTGCACCACACAAAGTTGCTTACCGTAATCTGCTTTTCATCAAAAAAAAAAGTCGGGGCTTTCCCAAGTCTAAATATAATCTAAAGTATGCAAGGCGGCTTATGAGAGAAACAGGAAAAGTTCACTAACTACAAATAAATCAATAAAATTTCTGAAAAATGTATTTTTAGTAGAAAAAGAAACTCACAATGACGGGTTTCTGAGAAGCCATGATGAATTCCTCATATTTCGTGACGGGAACAATCGCGTCGGTACAAGTTCCCGACCGGACGTTTTCCACTTGGTCGCCGTTCTTCAGAAAGATTCTGGAAAAGGGTTATGGTTTCTTAAAGGTCATCGTATTCAGAAAAATATTTTTTAGTTCCATGAGTTAATTCAAAAAAAAAAAAAATAGAATGAAAATCAAAATCTTTATGAGTGAAACTCCCCATTCGGAAGAGAATTTTCATACTGGGAACATTATTAGTGGCCCCTATAGGGTTTTGACGTATTAGTGGGCACTTAAGGGGTTAAAAATTAGTGTCCACTTTAGGGGTCAATGGATCAACATAACTGATTCACTCTGTTTGTTTTGTAATTATCAGAGTTACTGGAAGGAATACTGGATGAAAAACTACTGAAGTGGCCACTCAATAAAGAGGTGGGATTAGTGGATGATGATTATTGTATTCGAAAAAATAATTTTCAATTTTCGATCTCTTAAATTTGCACCTCAGGTTCTCGTTAGAGCGCGTAAAACGTAACTGTAACGGCCATTTTTTTCACTCTTTTTTCAAAAATTTCTAACAATAAATTCATCGAACCTGTAGGGATTCGTCTTCTGGACGACGATCACAACCAACGGCGGTCGGAAAGGCTGTCCTCGGTTCATTTTCTTCAAATCGTCGGATTCTTCCAGGTTCTTTTTGATTTCGAGGATTTCCTTCTCGACCTGAATCACAGAAATATATATTTTTTTGAGTTTGGGTGGATCAAAAATCGAGTTTCATGTACAATATTCCCAGAAAGCTAATTTAAAAAAGTCAGAAAAAAATCACATCTATTTTTCTCATTGAAAATTATACATTAAACCCGAATTTAAAATATCAATCATATCAAAAATAAAAACTTCGAAAAACATTTCACAATTTTCCAAAATTTCGGTGTACAAGTAAAATATTTGAGCGTTAAAAACAGTAATTTTCCATTTCAATAAACTCATCATACTTTAAAATACAGAAAAAAAACCTCTTATAAACATCGTAAAAGCCCGGAAAAACCTCATTCCAAACCATTTTCCCATCCAGTAAATCCACAAAGATCGGCTCTCAAAACCGCGCGCCTATTGCAATAAACCGCGCCACCATTGCATAATGACCACATTCGCGGTCTGTTTAGGAATTCTGCGTTTTAGCATTGAGTTTACATGTTGTTTTTGGGATTGAATTGGAATTTCGGTGAAAATAATTAATCAATGGGGTTTAAGGACCTTTAAGCAGTTTCTTTTTTTCGACTTTGAACATTTTTTGCGAATTTTTTTCTTTCTGTTTGATCCTTATCAAAATTTCCAGTTATTTTTCTGCTTCTTTCAAACAAATTTTCAGTTTTTTTATTAGGTGAAAAAAATCTACAATTTCCAAAAAGAAGAATCGTACTGCAATTTTACATCGGAAATACCCTTGGGTAGGTTTTTTTTTCCAGAATACAGCCCAATTTTCATTTTGTCTAGCAGTCCTGAGCACTGTTTAGTTCAAAATAACAATAAAGCAAGTAAAATGGCTCATTTTTTATTTTATTTCTTGTCAATTCCTCAAAAACTACCGTCTCGAAGGCGCCCTCGCCCATGCCGGAGCGGTAGATGACCATTCTTCCGGGCATCTTTTTCGTCTTCTCAAAGTATTCCCTGACGGCTTTGACCATGTGGACGCCACATTCGTTGAGTTGCGTGTCTCTCGGTTTTTGAACCCAGAACGTTCCGCCGAGTTCCGTCGGCTCTTTCAGGCTGTACGCCATCTGGAAGAGTCATCATTATAAACTTACCAATTTTTTTTATATTTCTTATAATTTTTTGGATGCATTTGCAAGTACAGTTAATCCAGGAGAACAAGTCCGCTTTAAATTTTTTTGAAAACTGAGAAAAAATTAATTATTTAACCTGAGAAAGGTATTTTTGACAAGAATACAACTACTTTACATTCAGGAGATATGAGCGGCTTGAAATTCAAAAAAAAAAAAAAAATTCGGGAAGGGACTTTTAAAAATATTCTGCTCAGGTAAGTGTACCTCCATGACTTCCATAACTTATTTTTTTCGAAGATGACGTCACGAAAAATTTTTTGCAAAAAAATTTATAAATTTGTATACAAAATTACAAAACTCACCGAAATCAAAAAAACCAAAAAAATTTCGTGTAAAATATCATTTTTTGTCTTTTTTTCATGACATCATCATTTTTTTCGAAAGATGACGTCACAAAATGAAAAAAAGTCCCCAAAAACGACCGGCTCTTCAGTCGGGACACACGAAAAAAAGCTGATCAAAGGAAAAAAAAATTTTTGAAAAAAATACTATTTTTTTGGAAAAAAATAAAAGAAGCTGGATCCCAGTTACAAAAAAATAGTAAAAAATCGAATTTTCTCTAGGACGTCATATTTTTTTTTCTAAAATGACGTCACAGAGAAGGAAGCCAGTCGCAACAATACAACTTCATTTCACAGTTTCCTCGAGCATATGAAACCAACTTTTTTGTTATTGAAAAATAATTACTCCTTTTGCAGCTTGAATTTGTAATTGTTTTCCCTAAAGTGACGTCTCAAAAAGTGAAACGGACCCCAACGATGGACGGCTCTTCAGTCGGGACACGGTAAAGCTGGTCGAAGGAAGACTGGGCGGCCGAATGGGACAGTTCGAAGCCGACGAACATCGTGTCTTTGAACAGGTCCTTTGGGACTCTGAAACGGGCTTTTTTGATTAATTTTTTGTGGCTTACAACCATCAAAGGACCTTGTTATACTATGAAGTTCTTAGAAGAAAAAAATCTAGACTGGCTTCAGATCTAGCAATTTGGCTCAGTTTAAGAAGCTAAAAATCCTCATCAGTTGGAGCACCTTGTCCAATGAGTGAATCTCTTTATTTCGTGGAAAATATTGAATTTGAGCCAAGTTAAAAAATTTTTTTAATTATAGAAATCTGAATCCTCAAAGATCCTCCCATTATACTATGGAGTTCTCAGAAAAAAATCTCTTGAGGAATCTCTGAGGGGTTCCTATAGGGGTTTGTTGTTTTGAGAGCCCCTCATTAAGCCCTTATGAACCCCCCATAGGGAACCCTCCAAATTATCTCAGTTAGACCTCATTTTCATCTTCAACACTTAGAAACGCCAGAGTGGTCACTAGAGGAGCAACCCTAGGGGTTCTTTTCGGTTCCCCTCAAGGACCACTTGAACTTTAGCCCTCTAGAGAGCTATTTCGTCCAGGATTTTTTTTCTTCGCTTAAACCCTTGAATGACAACTCTGGCATCCGTAAGCAGCTTCCTGGCCGCTTTTTCTAGCTTGACACTCTGGCATCCCTTAGTAGCTCCTTGGTCTCTTTTTCAAAAATCTGCTTCAAAATGATCATTATCAGTTAACTTTTGATGAGAAATCGCGCTTAATTATCTCATTTGAGTCTTTTTCTATTTTTTTTTTCTATACCCAATTTTCTATTTTTTTTTTCTCCCCTTACCAACCCATGAGCCTCATCCGAGACTTGGAGCGAGAAATTGAGGCCGACCGCTTTGAGATTCGTCTTCCTTATGATGTTCTTCCAGGTCACCGACCGTTCGTTTCCGATTTCCTTCAAACTTTTCTCGGAGACGTGTTGCGTCTGGATGCCCAACTTGGCTTCGTAGAACTTCAGGTACTCTGAAACGAAATCATCAAAACCGCCTTTGGAATGGCTAATGGCCCAGATAATGAAAAATACGCATCTAAAAATTCGCTGGAAAAAAGTTTTTACCGAAAATGCATTTGCGCCCCACTGATAAAGTATTTTTCCAATAAATATTTAGACTCCTAAAAGTATTTTTTTTTTCATTTTCAAGTGGAGAAGGCTAAAAAATAGTGTTCTTCTCGTTTTTCGCTGGTCAGTTCTCTTAAATTGACCATTTTTTTGATTTGTTCTTCCAAAATTTTTGTTTCCCGCCATTTTTCTCCAATTCAAACCATTCTGCGTTCGCGTCATCAACTAAGCTGTAAATAATCTAAAAATTCGAAATCTTTTTGATAAAATGGTCATGAAAAAAGAATGTGCGCTCCACTGATAGAGCATAATTCTCGCGGCTGTTTCTTCTCAAAAATACTTTCAGTACCTCAAAAGGCTTTCCTGTGATATTTCCAAGTTAAAAAACCCTCTAGAACTCAAATTAGCAAGTTTGTTCGTTGGAGCGCACTTGCCATCATATTTAGCCAAATTTCGCGGCTATTTCTTCTCAGGCTATATAATTGTTATTAAATGGATCCTCGTTGACGATTCTACAGTTTTTTGAATAACTCGGCTCAGAGGACCGCTAAAGGGATCACTAGAAATGCTCAGAAACGTTCGCACTTAACATTCCTTTATGGCTATTTTTCCTGTTATTTCTACACCCGATTCCAAGCCTCACCGTGAACACCCTTGCATTTTCCATCGGAGACGGCGAAAATGAAGTTGACGCCGAGTTTAACAACCTCTTCGATCAACTCTTCCAGATGTTCAGGCTGGTTGATGGGAGCCCTCTTCAGGATGACGTTCTTGTCTTCGACGGTAATTCCGTGGCTTTGGATTTGGTTCAGAAGGTTTTTCGAGAATCTCCTGGAAAGGGCAAACGATTAAAAACTCTTCCCTTTCTCATTAGAGTCGCAACAACATGAACCAAGCTACTAGATGATTTAATAACATAACTTGAAAAAGTAAAGTAATGAAATTTGTTTGCCAGGCATGAAGAATGGCTCTAAGCGTCGCGGTCGCGTTGCGTTTGACAAAAAAACATATTTATCCGTCCTAACATTATTCAATGTTTCATGTTGAAAGTCGTTTTAAGTCGGATGCATCTTTTAGCGACTGCTACACGCGATCATAAGCTTTTGTCTTTTCGAAAAAAGAAAGTTATCAAAAAAATGTCAGAAACTAAACTTGAATCATGAAAAAACCAAGTTGTGCTATGAAAAACTAGAAAAATACTACCAGCCGGAAAAATTCAGAGAAAATATCAACGATTATTCCGTCTTTTTTTTTTAGATGTTTTGCCCCTTTAGCGTTTAAAAAAACCCTTCAAAAAAATTACTAAATTCTTTTTTTCTTCAAAAAAATCAAAAACAAACCCATCAAGACTGGACAAGAAGTAGAAGACGGCCAATTTTTCTGATTTTTTTCCAGCCCGATAAAAAAATTCCCGTTTCGGGGGACCTTTGAAAACTCCGTCTTTTTGTCGGGACGGTCGATCTGAAAGAAAGATTTTTTTATTATTCAAAAAAATTAAATCAGAAGACTTCTTTATAAAAATCCAATATTCTAGAGATCAAATAAGAGACACCCAGACGCACAAAGAAAACTAGAAATGTCTAGTTCTCTCTTCACTTAGTACATTCTCTCTCTTTCTCAATTGTTCAAGAACATTTTTGATCGTAAAACCAATCAAAATCTAGAGAGCGTGCTAAAATTGGAGAAAGCTAGACACGCAGAGAGAATTAAAAATGTCTGGCCGTCTCTTCATTTCCTATACTCTCTCTTTCTTTCTGTTATTCCGTTTTTTAAAGAGATTTTTGATCGTAAAACCAGAGCAGTCAAAATCTAGAGAGCGTGCTAAAATTGGAGAAACCCAGACACGCAGAGAAAACGAAAATGTCTGGTACCTCTCCTTTTTTCCTTTTCTCATCCTCATTCCAACCTTTAGAACTTGAAAAAAAAGATAGCCTAGAGATAAGGAAAAAATTAGAGACATCTAGAGACGCAGAGAGAGTTAGAAATGTCTAAATGTCTCTTCGTTTCTCAAAATCTCTAGCATTTCATGCCGTGTTCAAAGTAATTTCCGCGAAATGCAAAATGATCTCTGACTCTCCAAAATTTATTGATCTTTCCCTTTCTCTAACGTGTATTTTGCATTTCGCGGAAATTACTTTGAACACGGCATCAACTTTTTTCTTCAAAAAAATTTTTTGAGGTGAAATATATTCACATTGAAGCAACTGAAACTTGTAGGAAAACTTGAAAAATGACTAGAGACAACGATGAAACTGGAGACAGACAGACATAGAAAGAAACATAAATCTCTAGCCGTCTCTTCATTTCCTATACTCTCTCAACTCAGCATGATTTTCCGAGCCTAAAAAGCAAATTAAAATCAAAACCAACGATTTGAAAAGAACATTCGGACCCGGGATCAACTTGGCGTCCACCGTCATTGGTTCAGCCTCGATTGTGATCTTTAAAGTGCGATTATTTATATCTTTATCGAATCCAAAAGTCACCCCAAACGCGTGCATATAATCTGATTTACTGGAACGGAGGCTCAAATGCTTGAAATACTCGTTGATGCTTTTCAAGTGGCTGTGAGGCTTTTGCTGGCTTTCCTTCGTCACGAACTCTTGCTGGAAAAAAAAAATCGAAATGCTTTTAAAATTGATAAAAAGAAATTTCAATATCTGAAAAAATTGAAACAAAAAACCCAGTCAGATTTTATACTTCCGAGATGAAAAAAAAAAATTCAAAAATCAAATTCTTCTTTTTATAACCTGTATGAGCTCCAACCTGTATGAGCTCTAGTTGATCAGAGAGCACTTTCAAGTGAAAAAACTACTCGGAACTTGATAAGGCGCCCCAGACGTTTCTGAACATTTAGGTGACACCTTTAGCGGTATTAGTGCCCTTAAGTAACCTCTAGAAATGCTCAGAATCGTCCGGAGCGCGTTCGGTTTGGGTTACCGAGGTCCGAGCGCGATTCGAAAATCTACTAGGAGCTTGGTAACGTAACCGGATGTTTCTGACCATTCAAGTGACACCTTTAGCGGTATTAGTGCCCTTAAGTAACCTCTAGAAATGCTCAGAATCGTCCGGAGCGCGTTCGGTATGGGTTACCGAGGTCCGAGTGCGATTCAAAAATCTACTCGGACCTCTGTAACGTAACCAGACGTGCTTCGATATTTTCTGACGATCTTAGGGACCCCTTTAGTGGTTTCTGTACCCTTAAGTGACCACTAGAAAAAGCTCAGCATCGTCCGGAGCACGTCCGTTTCGCGTTACCAATGTCCGAGAACCAAAACCGGACATTTCTGAGCAGATCTAGGGTCCACTTAAAAGTGCAGACATCGCTAAAGTAGTCACTGGAATTTTTCAGGTCTCAGTACCCTTAAGTGACCCTTAGAAATGCTCAGAATGCTTTGCGCTACCGAGTTCCGAGCACATTTTAAAGCTCTAAAAATCTGGAAAAAAAAGACTCACAACCACACTATCGACTTTCTTCTGGTTGACTTTTTGGCCGGCTTCGATTTCGAGAAGCTGAATCGAGGAAAAAATTAAAAGATGATAAAAAGATAAAAAACCTCGATGGGCATAAAGTCCAGCGCGGCTTTTCTTCTTCGGACGATCAGACGAAGTTGAGGGAACTCCAGGGTCATCATGTGTCTTTCTTTGAAATAGTCATAGACCGAAATCTCTCTTTCCTCCTCTCCTTCTTTGAGCTTGAAAGTCGTCCTGAAACATTGGGGTATTCAACTTTTTATATAGCCGATGCAAAGGGGCTTGGCCTGCCTGCGCTCTCCACGAATAGGCGCCATCTTTTGAATCGTGACAGGACCCTTTTTCTCATTGTTCAAGCCAGCCGTGAATCAACTATACCTCATTCACCTTTTGCAACACAGTGGTTGCACTTGGAATGGCTCAAAGGTTCGCGGTTCAAAATAATGGACATCAAACAGAGAAGCTCGCTTTACAACTCTTCAATGCAAACGCGCGCAAGTCGTTTTAGGTCGGGCGCATCATAAAATCATCGGCCTTGTTTCTGAGCTAGTCCAGGGACAATTCCGACATTTCGAATTCAAGAAATTCATCAACATTGCTAAGGGCGGGGCTTTGTCTGCGCTCTCCCCCGACCAGGCACTCATTTTTTAAAATCGTGTCAGGACCCATTTTTGAGGGCTCAAGCTAGCCGTGAATCAATTATATCGCTACCCCCTTTTGGAACACCGTGGTCGCACTTGAAATGGCTCAAAGCGTCCCAATCCAAAAAGGGCATCAAACTGAGAGCCTTTTTATAAGTTTTCAATGCAAACACGCGCAAGTCGTTTTAGGTCGGGCGCACCTTAAAACGAGGCGTTTAGCTGCCGACCTTTTTGAAGTTTTCAGTAGAATTTCAAGTCCAAACAAATTATTGATGAACATTTCTTAAAACTCTCTCATTCTCACTCACTGTTTCTCTAGTCGTTGCGCGCGACCATTTTATTCGGACAAAGATATAAATGCCTTATTTTGATTAGAAAAAAATCAATCTCAATTCTACCTCTTCGGAACTTCCCTTGATAAAATATCAGGACAGTTTTTACTCAACAAAAAAAAAATAGAAAAAAGAACTACTCGATCGCGTTTTTCGGGCTGAGTCCATCGATATTGAATCGCTGAGGTCGTTCTCTCATGTGCGTGGTAACTACCCGAACGCCTGAAATAATTCTAATTCATTTTACAGCCTAAAAGCAGCACAGGTTACTGTAAACTCATCGTTCCAGGACCATATTTTGGAAAAAAAAAACTTAACATAAACCCATCTAAAAGTATATATACTATTGATATACTTATAGAAACCTCAATGTCACATAACATTTCCTAAAATCCATCTGCAAAAAAGTTTTGCCTCCGTGCGGGACCGAACCCGCGACCTCTCGAGCATACGTCTCTCACCTTTCAACTGCGCCATCGCGTTTTCGAACTTCCGTTGGTGCTTCGCGATCTCCGACGTTCTTTCGACTTTCAGCAAGTCTTTGAGGCAATCGGCCAAACTCTGTTCCTTGTAGAAAGCGTTGCAGCGAACTGAAACAAGGTTGAAATCAATTCGGCCTTTTGTAAAACTCGGCCGTAGACTTGAAAAGTTGGAAAATTATTTCTTCCCAAACTCCAAAGAAATCTCAGAAACTTCGGAAACTAGGCCGTCTAGGCTGTGAAAATCGGAATTTTTCAAATTTGAAAAAAACAGGCCGTTCCAATTCTCGATTCGTAGAACACGGCCTTTAGCTTAAAAAATCTCGGAAAGCAAGATTTTTTCGCTTCAAGACAACAAGGCTTCGAACTAATTTCATATTTGTTTGGAAATTTAGGCCATGGCTGACTTTTCATCCGAAAAATGGAATCATCCTATTTCAACTTTGCTTCTTGGTTGAAGAACTTTGGAAAACCAGGCCATCATCAATTTGGAAAACCAGACCATGACCGACTTTTTGCTCTAAAGTACGAACTAGCCCTCTCATCAGAGACATTTGTGAATCCAGGCCACCATTATTTGGAAAACTAGGCCGCCACTTTCAAACTCCCCATTTTTCAACTGTTTTTACACCAAAAAAAACCTCATGTTTTCTATTTATTTCTCGAAACCCTGCCAAAACCAACCGTCAAGACAGAGAGTCGGCGTTTTCTGTCCGTTTTCATCGATGAACCGAACCGATTTTTCGAATCCCCTCTTCAGAATCGCCGCCTTATAACCTTCAACCGTCTTTTCTTCTCGCTTTTCCTCGTTTTTCGGGAAGAAACGTTGATTGAACATGTAGTGAGACCTTCAAAAACGGCTTTTCTTGAAATAATCTTCAATTTCATATAAAACTCTTTAAAATGAATCCCTCTAGTACTGTTACGTACTAGAAAACCACACTCAACTTCATAGAAAAACGCCTCAAAACATGTTTTTTTAGTTTGTAGATGCCTCCAAGCAAAAAGCCTAAACCTCTCTTTTTCGCACAATGTTTCCCCGGTTCAAGAAATTGGAAGTTATGACATGGTCGAGTGGAATGAATTTTTGAATTCAAAGCGAATATTTATAGTCGCTCTGAAACAGAAAAGTCAACCTGCTCGGGTTTTCACTCATTTTTGCTATTTTTCCGTATTTTTATTCAGAGAAGCTTCGAAAAGAACTTCCAAAAAGTTAAAATTGTCAGAAAACAATTCAAAAAAATCAGAATCAACTAGAAAAATTTCAAAAAAAAAGTATATATTTAACCCTGAATAAAACGCTGATTTAATAAAAAAATTCGACTTTTTATAATTTCGTTTTTTTCAAATAGCAGTCAGAAAATAAAAAAAGATAACTGAATTTTTGGAGACTCAGAGAAATTTTTTTGCATTTCACGAAAAATTTTTTTGTACGCCATTTCAAACGATCGTTACAATTACCAATTAACAAAAAAATAAATCAATTTTGAAAAAAACTCATGAAACAGTAAAGTAGATTAAAAAGTTCAATCTTTCCATTTTTTTGGAGAATTTATTCCAAAAAAACCAATCAAATAAAAGCTTTTTCGTTTAAATATCTTTGAAATAATAATAAAATTCAAAAAAACCGACCCAGAATACAGGAATTGCGACGTCAGAATCTCCAAAAACCTCGCCCGTTCCTCCAAATTGTTCTCGCCTTTCTTGACGGCGCCATCTTGCAAAACCACCTGCAAATTAAAATGTATTGCTCATGTTAGCTGATGGCAGCTCACCGTACGATCCGTTTTCGTGATGAGCACATGAGCATTTTGTACAGTAATGGGGTAAAGTTCCTTCAAGAGGGTTGGGAGCTGAAAAATGCATTATATTAAATTCAAATTATCACAATCAAAAAAATAATTCTATTTTTGTGTTTCAATAAATATTGATTTCGATTCAAAAATTTTTGAAATAATAGTCCTCGTCGCGGTAGTAATATAAAATAAAACTGACCCTAGAGTATTTACGTAACCAATCTATCACAATCGAAAATGAATTCTATAATGTCGAAACGGATAAAAAAGATCACGTGGTAAAAACAGTCTCAGGTTCGATCCCCCTCCACGTCTTTTCTATTTTTATGATTTTTGCATCGTTTCAAAAGTAGTTCTGCTCCACTGGATAAACCGTAAAAAAGTATATTTCTTTATCTATCGAATATGAATGAAGAGACTAATATATGAACAACAAAAATAGAAATTTTTGGTAGGAAAAAAAAGATGAAAAATGGCCTTGAAAAATTCTCAAATAACACAACTTCAGTGTTTCAATAAATCTTCATTTTGAACGAACTTTTCAAAAAACTCATGGAAAGTTTGGAGCAATTAAAAAAATGTGAACTGTATGTAAATATTCAACTAGTCACAATTACTAGTTATTTCAAGATGGCGCAACGGATAAAAAATATTTCAGGACAAATATAGTCTCAGGTTCGATTCCTCTCCACGTCTTTTTTTATTTTTTTATGATTTTTTGCAACCGTTTCAAATGATTTGAAAAATGGTTTTTTTAATTTATTTAAAATTTAAAGGGAACACAGAACGTCCCCGAAAAGGTCACAGGTTCGATTCCTCCTCATGGAAAAAAAGAATTTTTTTCTAATTTCTCTCGGATTCTAACTTCGCGACTGAATAAAAAATTTTCTTGGAGCCAATTTTCAACAAAAAATCCTCAAATACTGCAGACAAAAATGATAAAAACTTTTTGAAAAAAAGAAAATTTTTCTGAAAGAACTACTCCATCGAAATCATCAAATTTTACCGAAAAGGTCACAGGTTCGAAAAATCTCCACGCACGTCTTTTCTATTTTCAAAATTTTGGCACTATTTTTCATGACACGAATTCGTTTTTGATGTATTTTTGTATTGGTAGAAGTCTAAAAAGCCATCAAAAAGGTCGCGGGTTCGATCCCTCCCCACGGAAAAACGCTTTTTGCAGAAATTCCTTGTTTCAATTAATTCAATCAAAAGCTTTTTTTCGACTAAAATCCCTTGAACGGAATACCCATGCAGAAAAAGAAAACGTCAAAAAACATTTTGAAAAGAAGAGAATTTTCCGGAAAGGTCGACACCCTAAAGAAAATGTCATTCTTGAGTCATAGGCGAACTTTTCGATAGATAGTAACTCAGAAATAGTTCATTCCGCGGCACCTTGTCACGTTATTTTTTCCGTCAAAAAGACCGTATACCGAAATAGATCAAATCGCTTCAAGACCTTTGTTTTATGATTTCTTTTTGGCAGTTTTGAAGAGCAAAAGAAGCTGTTTTAACGGTATTTTTCTTTTCTCCATTCATTTAAAACGTGACCGTTTCGCGCGGAATGCACTACGAGTGCTTTTCAACTCGAAAAAATACACAAAAAGTTTTTTATTCAGTCGTGAAGTTATGAATTCGAGAGAAATTTGAAAAAAAGTCTTTTTCCATGGGGAGGAATCGAACCTGTGACCTTTTTCGGGGACGTTCTGTGTTCCCTTTAAATTTTAATTATATTAAAAAAATAATTTTTTTAAATCATTTGAAACGGTGCAAAAATCATAAAAATAAAAAAGACGCGGAGAGTAATCGAAACTGGGACTATTTTTGTCCTGAAATATTTTTTATCCGTTGCGCCACCTTGGAATAACTTGTAATTGTGATTAGTTGATTATTTACATATAGTTCACATTTACTTAATTTCTTCAAGCTTTCCATCAGTGTTTTGAAAAGTTCGCTCAAAATAAAGATTTATTGAAACATTGATGTTGTGTTATCTGAGAATTTTCCAAGGCCATTTTTCATCTTTTTTCCGGCCAACAATTTCTATTTTTCTTGTTATTATATTAATCTTTTCATTCATATCCGATAAATAAAAAATAAACTTTTTACGGTTTAGCCAGTGAAACAAAATTACTTTTGAAACATTTAAAAACGGTGCAAAAAAATCATAAAAAAATAGAAAAAGACGTGGAGGGGAACCGAACCTGAGACTGTTTTTACCACGTGATCTTTTTTATCCGTTTCGACATTATAAAATTCATTTTCGATTGTGATAGATTGGCTACGTAAATGCTCTAGTGTCAGTTTTATTTTGAATGACTACCTTGAAGAAGACTATTGTTTCAAAATTTTAAATCCAAATGAATATTTATTGAAACGCAAAAGTGGTCTTATTTGAAAATTAACCTTTTCAAGGCCTTTTTTTTTCACTTTTTGGAACCAAAATGTTTGTTTTTTCTTTTATTTAAATTAATCTTTTGAATTATTTTCGATAGTTCCCATCAAAAAGTCTTGTTTCCGCGAAAAAAAACATGCGCAGATCAGTTGCAGGCCAGGTGTGAGGGGGAGGGGGGTACCTGTCGTCTGGCGGATTATCCTAATAACTTTCCGTTGCACAATAAAAATGTCGATATTCTCAACGCCAGACACCCAAGGATCATAGAAAAAACCAAAAAAGTCACAATTTGGGCCATAAAATTTTGATTTAAAACATTTGAAGCTTTGGCTTAATCGGTAAACGCCTAGTTTATGATCGGAAAGGTTAAAAGTTCGACTCCTCTCAACAAAAAAAAAAAGTTCAAAACATTTTTGTTCTTATATAAATGCCCATTTGGCCATCTTGGCTCAATCGGCAAGAGCTAAAACTAGTCCAAAAAAGGTCTCAGGTTCAACTTCTCTTCGAGGTTTGAAAGTTAACTCTATTTACTTTTTCGGTTTTTTTTTCAAATTTTTTGACTTCTAAGGGCTTTTGATACTTTGGCTCATCCGGCAAGAGCCTAAACTCTCACTGAAAAGGTCGCAAGTTCGATACCTCCCAAGGCTTTTTATATTTTTGCAAGAAAATTTCCAACAGATTCTCATCTTTTGTCACATTTTTTGGACCTTTTTGACATCTGAAGCCTTCAGAAACCTATCAAGAGTTCATAGCTCAATCGGCAAGAGCCTGAACTGTCACTGAAACGGTCGCAAGTTCGAACCTTCTACAGGAGTTTTTGATTTTTGCAAGACAATTTCCAACAAAATATTATCATTTTCTGCGCTTTTTGTACTTTTTTGACATCTAACACGTGTAAACGATTCAGAAGCCGATCAGGATATGCTAGCTCAATCGGCAAGAGCCTAAATAATCACTGAAAAGGTCGAAAGTTCGATCCCTCCACAGGAGTTTTTCTTTTTTGCAAGACAATTATCATCAATTTTCCCCCTTCCTTGGAGCTTTTCGACATCAAAACGATTCAGAAGCCGATCAAGATATACTAGCTCAATCGGCAAGAGCCTAAACTATCCCTGTCAAGGTCGAAAGTTCAAACCTTCTACAGGAGTTTTTGATTTTTGCAAGACAAATTCCAACAGATTCTCATCATTTTTCCCCCTTTCTTGGAACTTTTCGACATCTTCAGGAACCTATCAAGTCATCCTAGCTCAACCGGCAGAAGCCTTGGCCATTCTCAAAAAGGTCCTCGGTTCAACTCCTGCTCACCTCGTCGCCGGTCATGTCGAACTCTATTTTCTCCTCCCTCAACGTTCTGCTGGACACGTAGAGCGTCGTCACTCCATCGTAGACCATTTTGGAAGGCGAGACTCCTTTGAAATTCGGATGATTCCGGGCCAGCCAATGGAGGAAGTTCCACAGGGCGACGCGCCGTTTTTGATCGAAGAAGCTGGAAAAAAAAAACATTTCAAAATTTTTGTACTGTCCCGAAAAAGGTCACTTCACAATTTTCAACCCTAATGGATTTTTTTTTTGGAGATTCTTCGGTGAAAAGGGTCAATTTTCTATCGGAATCGACTCGAAACGGTCGCATTTCTTTAAATTAAATAGTTCTTGGCCAAAAAAAGCTCATTTTCTACTAGAAACGACTCAAAAAGTCCGCATTTTCTAATCTAAAAAGCGTTTATTTAAAAAATCATTCCCCTAAAGGGCTCAATTTCCTACGGAAAATTTTCAAAAACTCCGTATTTTCAAGATTCCTAGTTTCTGATGTCCCCATCTGGACCCATTACCCAGAAATATGCATTAAATTTTGAATTTCATCGCCAAAAAACGCTCATTTTTTCTAGAAAAGACTCAAAAAACCCGCATTTTTCTGAACTAAACAAATTTTTTTACAGGATTCTTTGCTAAAAAAAGTGCTTATTTTCAATTTTTAAAAAGTCGAAAAAAATCCGTATTTTTTTGACATTCATACTTTCTGATTTCTCCATCTGGCACCATTTCCTAAAAAATGTGTTTTTTTTTCAAGATTTGATTGCCAAAAAGCGCTCATTTTCTATAAGAAAGGACAAAACGTCCGTATTTTTTGAATTCGCATGCATTTTTCAAAGATTCCTTTTAAAACTTTCAATCTTCTTTCGGAAAATTTATGACTGAAAAGGTTCAAAACGTCTGCATTTGCTCAAAAAGTTTTATAAATCCTTCAGAAAGACCTTTTGATCTCCTTTTTAAAAGATTTCTTTTCTAAAAAAAATGTCAATTTTCTTGCGGAGACGGCTCAAAACGTCCGCACTTTACAGATTCCTAGTTTCTGCCATCTCCATCTAGAACCATTACCTAGAAAAATCCCATTTTTGTCCATAATTCTTTTTCAGCAACGTCTCAAAACGTCCGCACTTTCCAAACTCACTCGTTCCTGATGTTGTTTCCGGTAGGTTCGACGGTTCTTCCGGTGATTCCGGTGAGGGAGACCTTCACATCGTACAAGTCGATCAGTGGCGGGGAATTCCTCATGTCCATTTTCCAGACGTTCAATGTCACCTTGGTGGGTTGGCCCGAGATCTCAGCTTAATTCATGATTTGTTTTGGGAAGGTAACGTCCTAGAAGGGGCACAGCAGAGTGGTCTTCTAAGGGGCAACTGAAGGGACTTGAACTAATCACTCTAGAGATCTAGGTTTGGAGTAAGTTAAGTAGTCACTCAAGTGATTCGATCCTTTTAACTTAGGAATTCCAGAATGGTCCCTATAGGGTTTATGTCTTCTCATGGAAATGCTTCTTCTCATAGAGTTTATAAGAAAAATCGATTTGCATAGTCCCTATAGTGGCCACTAACAGAAACCCCTACGATGATCCTTCTTCAAGTGACCCCTATAGGGGGAGCTAAAGGTGATCCTTATTTCCAAAGATTTCCGCTACAGGGATCCCTTTGAAGCTTCTAAGAAAGTCTTGAAAAACAAACTGAAAAAAATTCCAAGCGCCCACTAAAGTGATCCTGGTCTCACGACGGAGAAACTAAAAGATCCCAATTTTTGGAGCTTTCATCTTCAACCTATACTTCATCAAGGTGAAACAAAAAAAAAAGCGCAACTCCAAGTGGTCCCTTGAAAGATCTAAACTTCAAGTTTTCCTAAGAAGACCACCAAGTGATCTCTTAAGGTTTCAAACTCTTTTAAAATTTCATAACGGTTTTCACATTAATATGATTATTCCTTTCTACTTTTTAGTGCATTTGAAAAAACTTTGAAACGTTAATATCATGATAAATACCCACCGGATGTTTCTTCCAGCCGCTGTTTCTTGCTGGGGACTTCGCTGCACGACGAAGACTTTTTCGGGATCTGAAAAAGATGGAATTGTAACAAGTGCGCTCCATCGTTAACATTTATTTAAACTCTCTTTTTGCCTACTTTTGAAAATTCAAAACCCTTGAAACAATGCAAAAACGAGATGAAAATGCTCACAACTACAGTTGAAAAACACAAAATTGATCGAAAAAGGAAATATTCTCAATTTCTCCTTGGAGCACACTTTCCCAAGCCTTCCAAGAATATATATCAATCACCCTCATGGAAGAGAACATGGAAGAAACGCCTGGAGTCGGAGGACTCGGTCGGGAGCTCGAAGATGACGTCGGTGCTCTTGGAGCTGGAGCAGGTCGAGATGGGGTCGACCTTGACGGCACTGGGCCCATCGACGACAGGATCGAGTCCAAAGGATCTCTCTGTAGAACATTTTTTTGATTTATTCAAAGTTTTTTTCAATTTTATGTTCCAATTTCTACAAACGCTGACCGGGACCTCTGTAAAAAAATCATATATTTTGAAAAACATAATTTTGCTTTTTTTATGTTTTTGAATCAAAGCTTCATTTTACAACACCTTATCAATAGAAAAGTACGCGAAAACCGCTCAAAAAACACAAAATTCGCTTTTTAATGATAAAAGTGACACAGAAACCGCTTCCCAATGGAATAGAAGTACAAAAATCCGTTCCAAAATTTGAAAAATAACCCACAAATCTTTGATTTTTACAGTTTCAAAAAACAGAATTGCGGAAAAATGGCCAGTAAACAGCTGGTCTAATCTTAAGACTTTCTTGGCCTTTTAGCTCAATCGGCAAGCTCTCAAAATATCACTCGAAAGGTCACAGGTTCGATCTCAGCCCAGCTTAGAATTTTGCTTTTTTCTTCCTTGCTCATCCTGATTCTTTTTCTAACTGCTCAATACTCGAACAATCCAGCTTTTAAAAAAAAATTACCGAAGGCGCAGGAGTCGTCTTTTTGCTTGGTCCTGCTTTTTTCATTATTGCGACGAGCTGAAAAATGTTTCATTGAGAATTATTCAAAGAGGTAAGAAAAAAACCATTGAATGAAAATTTACATAACAGAGGGCAATTTCAGACGAAAATAAATTTTTCGAACAAACTTAAATTATTTCTCATTTGTTTGCAACTTTGTCACACCTTCTTTTATCGTCACCTTCATTTTTTTTTTTTTCTCGAGATTAATTTAGGGAAATCGAGAAGTTGAAAACTTGAAAAGTTGAATGAAAAGTTGAAAAAAATTCTGTGATTTAAAAAAAGGGCGCTGAAACAGTGAAAATGGGCAAGAAAAATGTTCTGATTAACAAAATTAGAAAGTCTTTCTAAAAAGTTATATTGGCATAAGACCGTTTTTGGGCCATTTCTTTGAATCTTTAAACTTTGAATTCTCGAACAGGGTGTTTAAAAAGCTTGTATAAATCCAAAAAAGCTCAAAATCTGATGAAACCGAACGATTATCAAGCAAAATTCATTAAAATTGAGATAAAAGGTCATAGAAATTATTCAAAATGAGAAAATTATAGTTTGGACCGTTACAAATGGAAACTAAACAGTTGTGTGAGAAAAGATGATGCAAAACGGAAATAAAAGCAAAAAACGAATGAGTTTATGGAGGGAAAACTATTTGGCATTCAGAAAAAATGAAAAACTGAGGAACGACGGATCGTAAAGCGACGCAACACAAGGAAAGCAATTGAAAACAAACCGTGGAAGAAAAAAAAAGAATGAGAAGATTTTCCGCTCGCTGGGAAAAGGAGACCCGCGCGCGCCCTTTTCCGTGCCGAGTTGGTCAAGAATGGTCAACCAGGTGTGCTCCGAAAAATGTTTCTAGTTCGATCGAAACTGCTTGTTTAAAGGAACATACAGGTATCAAAGCGAAGAGCCTTTTTCAATGTTATTCCAAGAAGGCTTCCTGAAGAAGAAGTCAATTAAAAAACTTTCGATTTTCAAAACCTAAGCTCTTGAATGGACTCAGTGAGTCTTGGATTGAAAATTTAATTTTTCTGTTTTCCGTGAAAATTTAGGTCATTTACAACTACTGCGATTTTAAAAATTGAGAAAGGCCTTTGAATAGTTTATCTGAAGCGAGTCAAAATTCGAGTTTTTTGTCCCGCTTTGGTCAAAAATGGTCAAAAAGGTGCAAGGCTCGGAAAAATCTCCTCACTAGGAAACGTCCCCCCCCCGTCGAACTTTTAGTGAAACCTTGCTGAAGTGTACTCTAGGACCCCCTGATTCCAGAAAAAAAAAAGAAAATTTCTCGCAATAGATCTCGTTTTCGAGTTAAAACACTTTAAAGACTCAAAAGTGCTTTTTGGCGTAATTTTCGTTATTTTGGGTACTTTGAAGCTTTATAGCTCGGAAAAAAGATCTATTGCGAGAAATTTTTTTTTTTCTGGGATCAGGGGGTCCTAAAGTACACTTCAGCAAAGTTTCAGCAAAAGATCAAAGATTTCTACGCTTTTTAAATTCAGCAAGAGTTAGATTTTGAATCCAAGTCTGTTTCTAGTGAAAATTCAAGCAGGCAAAACAGAAAAAAATCGGATTCTTTGGTCAAAATTTAAAGAAACTGTCTTTTTTTGTGTATATAGTTGGTCAGAATAGGTCTAGGATTTCAAAATTTATTTTTAGTTTGATTAAAAGAATGGATACAGGTCTTAAAACGAAGAGTCGTTTACAGTGATTATTCAGAGAGGAGAAAAAAATCAACGATTTTTCGAAATTAAAGAAAGCTTTGGAAAAAGATTTCATAAGTTAAAAATTTCGGTATTTCGTGCAGAGTTGGTCAAAAAAAATAGTCAAAAAGTAAAATATTTAGAGTTTAGAATCATTTTTTTCGAAAAAAATAATGAAAAAAATTGTTTCATTGAGAAGACTTTAATAGGGCTCATATGAGAGGAAATCTGAGAACTTTTGTACTTTTTTTTTTGAAAATAAGCTTGTCGTTCGATTTTTGAACTTTCCTGCAAGCTTCCATGTATTCAAACGGAGAAAATTTAATTAAAAACGATTCGAAACTGACAAAAGTATCACAAATTCAAAATAAAGGACAATAGAAAGAAGTTGATGTATTTAAAATACGAAGCTTCGAAAGTCAGAAAAGACAAGAAAAAGAAAAGTTTTCCGACTATCTGTTCCAAATTCCGTGTGAAAGAAAAGCGACGCGCGTCTGGTTTCTCCCTTTTTTCGCCACCTTTCCTTGTCACTTTTGTTCCGATAGAAACAATGAAACCGATTCCATTCATCCTCGAAGATTTCTACGAAGGAAGAGTTGGATTTTGCGACGGTAAACACAGTTTGTTGGTCAAAGACCAGTCAAAAGTTCGAAAAAGGTTGAGAAAACATTCAATAACAAATTAGTTACGCTTCGAATGAACGATAAGATGATTTTCGCCAAGAGATTATTAGATTTTTCTTGTTTGAGAAAAACATCTGATTCATCTTCGAAGATTCCAACAAACAAGGAAATTGGAATCTTTTCGTGAAAAAACGGGATTTTTTAGAAACCTCTCAAAAATAGACAAAAAAAGAGTGAAAGTCAACTTTAAAATAATAATAAAAAACCCAGAAACTTATCTTCCAGTGAGTGAAATTATACCAAAAGGAAACGATGAACAAATTTGGAAAAAAAATGAAAAAAAAAACGAATTTCCTGATGAATTTTTGAGCTTTTCGTGGTTTTGAACAAGAAAAATATGGATTCTGATGAAAACAAAGACTTTTTTTCTTGAAAAAAATCAGCGTCCGAGGCACAAAAAGAATGAAATGGAGCCTGCGCCTCGACTTCTGGTAACGTGCGCGAAGCCACGCCCCCTTAACTCGAGGCCACGCCCACTTTTACTCTTCCATATATATGATAAATCATTCTTTCACAGGTAAAAGCAAAATATAATATACAAGAAGATGGAAAAAAGATAAACCCGCATTACCACGCTGTCTCTGTTACTTTCCAAAAATTCTCAAAATCAATAATCACAAAAAAAGTTTTATTTTTAGATCCTGATAGATTTCATCCAGTGTGATAACTCATCATCCGAAATGCGGACGCAAGATTTTGAGCCATTCCCTCTTACTGTAGCCGGGTTACGGTAGCCAGGTGGACACCTGCGTATCTACAGTACCGCTCAAAAAGTATATTAAGTTTTGGTTTTTTTGAGGATATCTCAGCGAGTACTCATCCGATTTATATATAACTTTCAGATATTATGTAAAATATACTTTAAAACATATACGGTATACACATACATGTTCGCAGTCAATGCGACGCGTTTTAGGATTTTTTTTTTTGAATTCAATTTTTTTTGTTTTTTATGCTTTTATTTTTATTTATTTCTATTAAATTTTTTAAGAGTAATAATGTTGCCATATGATTTTTTTCATGTTTTCAGACATGGGAAGAACCTTTGGAAATAAGAATTTGACTGATAACGACAAAAGAGCCATCGTTGTGGGTCGTCAAAATGGACTGACCATGATGACGTTGGCAGGAATGTTCGGCGTGACAGAGGCGTGCATTTCTCAGTTCCTGAAGCGTTGGAAAGCTCGAGATGCCACTATTAAGAGCCAACGCACTGAAAGACCACGTGTCATTGATCGTAATGACGATAGGAACATTTTGAAGACGTCTAGAACCCATCCAAGACTCACCGCCCCTGCGATCAGACGGGAAGTTTTCTCGAATTCGCCATCTCCGCCATCCGTCTCGACCGTGAAACGACGTCTGAATGCTGCTGGAATCATGGGAAGACGTGCAGTGAAAAAACCGCTGATTTATGAAAAGAATCGAGTCGCCAGGGTGAATGGCGAATTCGAGAAAACTTCCCGTCTGATCGCAGGGGCGGTGAGTCTTGGATTGGTTCTAGGCGTCTTCAAAATGTTTCTATCGCCATTACGATCAATGGCACGTGGTCTTTCAGTGCGTTGGCTCTTAATAGTGCCATCTTGAGCTTTCCAACGCTTCAGGAACTGAGAAATGCACGCCTCTGTCACGCCGAACATTCCTGCCAACCTCATCATGGTCAGTCCATTTTGACGACCCACAACGATGGCTCTTTTGTCGTTATCAGTCAAATTCTTTTTTCCAGAGGTTCTTCTTATGTCTGAAAACATGAAAATAAACATATGGCAACATTATTACTTTTAAAAAATTTAATAGAAATAAATAAAAATAAAAGCATAAAAAACAAAAAAAATTGAATTCAAAAAAAAATTCCTAAAACGCGTCGCAGTGACTGCGGACATGTATGTGTATACCGTATATGTTTTTAAAGTATATTTTACATAATTCCTGAAAGTTATATATAAATCGGATGAGTACTCGCTGAGATATCCTCAAAAAAACCAAAAACTTAATATACTTTTTGAGCGGTACTGTAAGTATTGAAGAGTTTTTACTAGGCAAGTGATATATCAATCCTGTTTTAGAAACTTTTTCAGTACATACCATGTTAGGTTACTGTAGAAATTCTTTAAGATACGTTACTTTTCGGAGAGTTATTTAAAAATAGATAAAAGACTTTTTCTGAAAAACAGCTCAATGAAAAATTTCGTAGAACCGGAAATTTCTCAAAAATGACTGATTTCAATACAGATGGGCTAATTTTTTTCGTTTACTGATAAAAAATTTTCTTTCTCAATTGAATTTATTTACCGTGATTAGGGAACAACACGACCATCAAAAAACTGCAGAATTAAAGCAATATTGGAAACGGTAAAGTCTTGAAACTTCTAGCAAAATAAAATTCTCGATTTTTTTTGAAAATCTCTGGAACAGGTAGGATCAATATTCACAAGACAAGTGGAATTTTACAAAATTTAAGATTATTTCGATCCAATTTTAGATTTGGCCAGATTCCAAATATAATATTTTTCATATTTTTCGGAAACGCCAAAAATTGTATACTTCATTATTTTCGTAGAGAAGGGCACTTTTGGGGATTTTTGAATCGAAAAAATGGAAAAATTGAAAGTAATAACCATTTTTATTGGTACCCAGAAGCTTTAAAGTCTCAGCCAAGTTTCAGAAAACTCTCAATAAATATTTTTTTCCCTTCCCTTTCTTCTTTAAAACAACTTGGAAAACTCGAAAAAAAGCTCCCTTTCACGTTAAAAAAAGAAAAAAATAAAAAAAGAACGACTTTTTCGAAATTATTTCCAAATCGGCAGGGCTCGTGAGTGCCCAATGCATGACAGTGAGTTTAAACCTTTATATAGATTTTTAAAATTTTTTTTTCCAGTTTTCTTCCCGGAAAATGAAGATTTACCAGTCGGCAAGATTGTCGGCAAGCGTTATAGGGTGAAGAGTATTCATAAAAGCTTGAAAATTATCTTTGAAAATTATCAGATAATAAAAAAGTTGGGCGAAGGAGGATGTGGTTGTGTTTACAAAGTACAAGATGTAGACAAGGAGGAAGCTTTTGTGAGTTCCTAATTAATTAGCTAATTAGAGATTATGTTTAATTACAGCACGCTTTAAAGGTCGAGTTCCACAACAGCACAATTGGCAGTGTTCTCAAAATGGAAGTGCAGGTGTTTTTTCAAAAAAGATTTGGAAAACTAGGCCATAATTCTATTGAAAAAACCGCACATTCAACGACTTTTGGAAAACTAGGCCGTGATGCCGAAAATAATTGAAAATCCCTTGTAGCATGTAAAAAATGGGTTACCTACGTCAGCAAACATTTTTTAGATGTTTTCGAAAAACCTTCTTCGATTTTTTTTTTTGGAAAACTAGGCCGCCTAAAAGGAGTGAGAAAATGAACCTGTGAAATTAGTCCATCTTCGGTGAGATTTGGAAAGACCGCCAGGTTTTTTCCATAATATTCGGAAAACTAGGCCTTCGGAATAGATTACTTCGTAGATAATTGCGTTTCATTTTCCTACATGATAAATGTAAATTCAAACGATTTGGAAAAAAAGGCCGTGTGCCGATAATTACAGAAAATCACTTGTAGTATGAAAAGAGGTTATAACTAGGCCATCGAAAAATTCGGAAGCTTTCGAAAAATCATTCATAGATTTTTGGAAAACTAGGCCGTCGCTGGCAACATTTGAAAAAAACCGTACGATTATTTTCAAAACTTGTAGGAAAATATGTCTTCGGAACAAGCTTTGTGATAATTTTCCTACAATTTGAAAGGGAAAACCAAATTATTTGAAAAACCAGTCCGTCAATTTTGATCACATTTGGAAAACTAGGCCACTTCCCACGACACTATGCTTTTCAATGTTTTTAACGCCTTTTCACCATAAAACATGAGTAAAACTAAATTTTTCCAGATCCTCCAGCTTCTAGAAAAGAAACGGCATGTGGCGAAACTGATAGCGAGCGGCAAAAGACCGACCTTCACTTATATGGTGATGACGCTGCTTGGCGAGAGCCTACACAACCTCTCCAGGTTAGTCTGAGCAATACTGAGCCGTTCTTCTTTTTATTTTTCAGAAAGTTCGGCCCTACGATCAACGTTTCGACGCAAATGCGCGTCGCCATTTGCGTGCTTTACGGACTTAAACAACTTCATGATGTCAGTGTTGCTCATGTTACTGGAGTCAAATTTAATAATTATAACCTTCCCATGAGCATTCGATTAAATATTCCTTTCATTTAATTTTTTTTTTTCCAGGTTGGATACATTCATCGCGACCTGAAGCCGGCAAACGTAGCTGCTGGATTGGTTTTTTTTTCAAATTTCTTATATTATTTGATTTTTCCATAGAACTACTCAAAAAATAGCTTTTTGCAACTTTTCTCAACTTTGAAATAACGAAAAAGCCGCAGAATCAAACAGAATATTTTTAAAAAAATCATTATTCTCATTCAGAACAATACGCCCGAGGAACGCTTCTTCCTGATTCTAGATTTCGGCCTTTCTCGTCAGTATATCATTCAAGAGCCCGACGGAAAAGCAGTGATGCGGCGACCGCGCGAAAAAGCTATGTTTAGGTAGGATATTATCGGAAAACAGTGATAGAGAAAATTGCAAAAAGAGTTTGCCGCCAGCAGGGGTCGAACCTGCGACCTTGGGCTTATTAGACCCACGCTCTAACCGACTGAGCTATGGCGGCCACGTGAGCTGGCGGCGCCGAGGGAGAATATACTACTTTGTGTGAGGGGAGGTGTATTGAAGTTGAATTTTTAAAAATTGGAATTTTCGAATTTTTTTTTTTCCGAAATGAGAAGAAGGGACTGTGAATATGAATAATTTAACAAAGAAATTGCAAAAAAAAGGGTGTAAAACTAAGATTTTTTCTGAAATTATTTAATTTCGAGAAAAGTTCTTTAAACGGAGTGGAATGAACTTCTATCAGAGAAAATTTCAATTTTTCAAATTTCAGAGGCACAACTCGATATTGCTCAATGGCGATGCACGACAGGTCAGACCAAGGACGTGTAGATGATCTTTGGGCTTTACTTTATATGCTTTCGGAATTACGGCGGCCACTACCTTGGTCCGATATGTCGTTAGTTCAGTTCAGATTTTTTTGAAAAGAGTAAATCGAAGGCTATCGAATCATACCAATAACACGGAAAACAATAGGGTTTGAGGTTAGTTATGAAGGATTAAAAAATGAAAAGAAAAATACAGTCCTGTGCAGTGGTCTAACTTTACTCCTTGGTAAAAAGCTGTGAATTTTAGGAAAAATCTGAAAATCAATCATCAATAAATAAAGACGATAGAGCTCCTACTGAAAATAAAATGTGTACGGATATCGGTCTTTTTCGATTTTTCATTTCGATTCAGTTATTCAGAAACAAGGACGCCGTATCAGATTTGAAAAAAAAGACTGCGGACGAGGTTTTATTGAGCAAAAGTCCGCATGAATTGCTCGAATTCAGTGCATACATACGGTGACCAAATCCTACAGTAACCTTTCTCCAATAAAGTTTTTCCAGCACGCTGACTTATTATGATAGACCAGATTACGAGAGAATCTTCACCGTATTCAACAAAGTAATGAAAGAGGGCAGTTTCAAGTGAGTTTCTGTGGTGGTCGCATTTGGAATGGCTAGGCGGCTTCAATGTGCGACCGACTTGTAACGGTTTTTGCGCAAAAGCGTCTAGTGTTAAGCTTTGAACCATTCCAAGCGTGATAACGGATTTTAGGACTTCACAAAAGTAACCTTAACCGCAAGAGCTACAGTAACAGTTCCCAAAACAACTTACGTTTGATTTATATGACGTCTAGAGAAAAATTCATCACTTCTTAGATGTGCAGGTTTCTGCCTACAGTAAGAGCAAAGGGCTATGCAAATATGACGTCATATGATAATCAATATTAGAATTTTTCGAAGTTTGTTTCCAAAATTTTGGTAGATCATGAGACTGCTCAAGCTGGATCGTGTATAAATATAATTCTCGGGGGTACTGTAAAAAGCCTCAAACATCTTGGTCGCACTTGGAATGGTTCAAAGCTTTCTCAAGCCGACTTTATAATTCATCAGCTTTATATAATACTTTGCGACGCCTCCGCGCGAAAGTCGTTTCAAGTCGGTTGCAACCTATTTTTCTTCGATTAGCCATTCCAAATGCGACCGCGGAGTCCCTAGTGGGTGAATTACTGCTTTTTGTCTTGTTTCTGAGATTGCGCGTAAAAAACTCGGAAATAAATTTTTTTTTTCTCATAAGAATTTCAACAATTACTGTCCCCGAAGCACGAAAATTCGCTCAATAAAAATCCCAACCTGAAAAATATTTTTTCAGATGGTCAGATCCTTATCACTGGGACCCGCTGGCGGATCGGAAGGAGAAAAAAGTCCGACTTCTGGGAAAATCGCCCGCAAGAAGCCCTCTCCGTACCGTCTAACGTGTTATTGGCATACGTGCGCAGCGGCTATTTTTTCGGAGAGTGACGTCATCAGCGCGCGTCCCTCATGTTCAGGCGCACCTCCCCCGAATTCAGGCGCACGTCCTCCTTTTGACCGTTCTGACGTCATTCCCTCTGACCTTTTTATTCATTTATTTGCAAAAATTGAGGAAAAATAGCCGCTGCCCACGTATGCTTCTTTTTTTTAAAAAAGAACTAGTAAAACATGATTTTTTTGAGATTCCCAGGCCAAATTTCGAGCTTCCAAGTTTTTTTACTCGAAATTGGACGAAAAACGTTCATTTTCCGAGAAAATCGTAGTTTTTTTCAAACTTCGCGCTAGGAGAGTGAAAAAAACGGTGTACACAAAGTTGCTTACCGTAATCTTTTTCTTAATAAAAACATTTCTTCGCCATTTTTTTTTAAATCTTTCTAATTGAGAGTTTTCATGTCGGAAGATACCATGGAAAGAACAAGAAAAATTAAAAATGGGAAAAGAATAAGTGATGGAAGTTGTCCATGGAGCAGCTTTGCCTCAAAATTCGATTTTTGGCGGCAATTCAAACTTTTTACCTACTTTATTTGAATCGATTTATCTCAAAAACTAGGAACTTCAGTACAGTTTAAGTAGATGTCTTGAAAGGCAGAAAAATCAATTATTCAAACCAAAATGTTTTATTTTTCACACACACAAGTAATTGACGGAAAAAATGTAGAGAAACATAGGAAAATAAGATGATCTACAAGGTGACATTATCTTCTCAGAACTCGTGATTTACTGGCCAAAAATAATAAAAACCTTCAGATTTCAGGACACGAAGACTCGTCGAAAGGATCCTCCTCCCTACAAGGAACTGTCGAGACAGAAACGCCCTATTTCACAGCCGCCGACTTTCAAACGAACCCCCTCGGCTTCTGAAATTTTTTTGATAAACCTTTTTCCTGATTGAAATCTAATAATCGAATAAAAAGAGAATGGAAATTTCAAGAAAATCGCAAGACATTATTTTCAACTTTCTCCTGCTGATTCTTGAAACAACTGTGAGTTTTGGAATTTTCCTATAATGTCTCTGAAGGTCTAGATATAGAACAGTTACTATACTGGGAAAATTTTTAGGGGCCACTATAGGGTTATGACGTTTTAGTGGCCGCTAGAGTTGTCAAAATGGTGGCCACTTAAGGGGTAAAACATCAGTGGCCATAGAGATCCAAGTGCTACTGCTAGACCACTAAAACTTTTAGTGGCCACTTTAGGGGTCAATGGATCAACATAACTGGTTCAATCTGTTTGTTTTAAAATTATCAGAGTTACTGGATGAAAAACTACTGAAGAGGCCACTTAATAGAGAACCTCCATAGTGGCCACTTTAGTGTCCTCTCCAAGTAGTCTTCGGCGAGCCTCTATAGTGGCCATTAAAAATTGTCCCAGTAAGAATTTTTCAAATCTAACGTTTGATTTCAGTATTGATTGTGAGTTTTGTGTTAATTTGCCCCAAAATTATTCATTCTCACCGCCTTACAAAATAAATTCAAGTGGTAATAGCCGTTATCCATCTTCTACTCTTCAAAAATGGATCTATATATAATATACCATTTTTCAGAGTTAAAACGGATTAGATTTTTTGGATTGCATAAGGGTTGACCTATCTATTGGTCAACGATAAATTCAAAAGCTGAAGAAAGTCTCCAGAAACGTATTTTTCCCCAGTTTTTGAAAAAATTTGGTCAGACGGCGAAAAACTTGAAATAACTTTTTTTAATAGTTTCGAAAAAATTACTGTAAGAAGTTTTCAAATGTAATTTTTGGCAGAGTTCTTAAAACAGCCTGAGTTTCTATCTTTAGCTTTAATAGTCCATAATCGTGTTTTTTTCTGTGGATTTGTCCCAAATTTATTCAATTAATACTGTTTTCTTAAAAGTCGAGTATGATTCATTAAACGAAAAATGATAGCCGCTATCCAATTTCAGGCGCTCATGATGGCTCTATAATACAAAAAAGTCTCATATTTTTTTGAGGTCAAGAATTGATTAGAATTTTTGAAGAATCAAAAGGATGTTTATCGATCAAAATTAGTTTCAAAAGCTCATAAAAGCATCCAGAAACGTATGTCTCCCGCGTGTTTCAAAAATTTGGGAGCAAAAAAATTTAAAAAAATGTTTTTTTGTAATAGTTACGGTAATTAAATCAATGTAAGAAACTTTTAAAAATTATTCTCGGCGAATCTCTTACGTAAAAAAAAAGCATCAATTCCCATTTTTCAGTTCTAATAGTCCATACTCGTGATTTTTCTGCTAAGAATTTTTTTTAAATTTTTTGGTCAATGAGCAAATAAATTGACAAGATTTCTTTTAAATAGTGACGGTAATAAAAAGGACAGTAGGAAATTACTTGAAAAAAAAAGATTGGAAATTTGAGTTTCCAGCTCTAAAAGTGCAATTTTGTGCTAATTTAGCTCAACGTTTATTCAATTCACCTCGGAAAATTTAAAGGAGTATAGGAAAACTTTGAGAAGGTCTTGAAGCGAAGGGCCATATTAGTTTAAATTAGGTCTTTCAAAGTATCTGGGTCTTGAAAAATACAGAAAAATCATTCATAACGACAATATCTTGTCGAAAAAAAAGTCAAAAGTCTGGATTTTACAGAGAAATAAATCCTGGCACTGTTAACAATAAAGATGGAGATGCCATAACACAAAAATTGGGAAAAATAAATCAATTCCGCGTTCAAACTAAAGTCCGCGAATTTCAGAAAAGATCTCCGACTCACCAGAATTCAATCTTTTTTCACTCTTTGACCTGTTACTCTCAATTTCGCAGGGTCACTTTGAACACGGAATAGATTTTTATCACGCTATTGATTAATAAGAAACTTTCAGGAGCCGGAAAATGCCCCCGACTGCTACTGAGAAATAAATAATGAGACTGGGGCTTTGTTTCGTAGCGCCTGTCGGCCTGCGATAAGGCCTCAGATTGAAAATCGGACAAAAAAAACCGCCTGTCAAGAACAAATGTTGGGAGGGCGGGACGTGATAGATAAGATAGGCGTTTTTTGTCCCGAGCTCCTGCTGGAGTGTAACCAACAAAAGCTTTTCTTTTACAGGATATTGACCTCGAAAATCGGAGGTCAGGAAATAATTTGAAATATTGGCAACAAAGGGTCAAAAAAGGCTCATTATAAATGTTCCTTTTAGGGACAAATTTCCCTTTTTGCGCCATTTCATCAGCCCTTTTGCACTATTTTTGCTGCCTCCCTTTTTCCACCATTTCTTGAGCCTTTAAAATCCTAGAAAAAGTGGAAGGCTTGATAATGAGTCTTTTTGCTGCCTTTCTGTGGCCTTTTTTGAGCCTATACTTTTTCCGACTTTGCCCAAAAAAAGTGAATTCATCAAAAACGTTTTGAAAATAGAGATTTATTCAAGAAGAAGTAAATTACAGAAAACAAGGAGTTTCACGACAAACTATTAGAAAAAGACTTGTGATTTCTTCGAAAAACGATTTCAAGCGCCCTCTTGGTGAGGTTTTTCATTGAAATATTGCTCCAAAAAAATAAGAAAATGCATAATTTGAATGAGAATATGATGATGGATTTTCTTTAATGTACAAAAAAAGTTAAAAAAACTCGGAAAAACTGAGAAAAGGATTTTTTTGTTCTGTCGAAAAGAGACTCCACCAGCTGAATTAATAATCAATATACATAAATTCGAAAAAGCTACCGTTCAAAATTATATTAATTAAAGTTTTTTTATTTCTCATTGCGTGAAAAAAATCAGGGAACTTTAAAAAAATAGAAAACTGAAAATTCATGATTGACTTCTTCTAAAAAAAGAAAGGAAGAAAGAGAAAATTGATAATTCAACCTGTTTTTCGATATTTTCAAATAACAAATTCTCAAGGATTTACAAAATATCAGCGAGAAGTCTCCACCAAAATGTATAAAATTTTAAAAATCACCAATAAGTTTTTTTCATAAATAATTTCCCACCTCTGCTCATCGCCAGGATTCGAAAGATCAGAAAAAAATCACTGAAACATATACAAAATACAACTGCCCAATCAACCGAATACTTGAGAAAAATATATCTTTCCCAACCCAAGGAAAAATCGAATAAAGAGCAATATTTATATACTCGCAATTCTCTTTTAGAGCCTTAGAAATCGAATTTGAACACGTAGAACAGAGAAAAAAATCATGGTACAGACAATTTTAACAATTAAAAAAATTTTAATGAATTTTGACTGGAGAAGCTCGGGAGACGTCTTCATCCGAATACGTCAGGAGGCCTGGAAAAATGAAGTTTTCTTTTTCAAAAAAATTATGAAAAGCCTAAAAGCATCTCTGAAACCTGCAGATAAAGTCATAAAACTTTCCTCGATTTTGAGCATTTTTCTTCAAGTTTTCAAAATTAAAACCAACCTTTCTTTAAAATCTCAGCCTCCTGGTTATTATCCTCATTTTGAAGGTAGTTTTTTTCCTGGAAAACTTTCGATAAAAAAATTGTTTTAGAATTTTTTTGTAAACTTGACAAAATCGTTTGCGAAATCCCGTCCATTTGCTGTCAGATCCGAAAAGGCTACCCTGAAAAAAATTTGGAGATTTATAGATCTTCTTGAAAATAATTTTTTTCCCTAGACGTCTTTTTCGGCTTCAATTTTAAATATTATTTAAAAAAATCTTCTAATAATTCTAAGTTTTTCAGTGGAAAAAAAAGAATCAAGTCTTCTAACTTTTTCAAATTTTTTTCATCAAATTCTTGAGTTTTTTTCTGCAAACGAAACGATTTTTGAATGAGAGATTCTAATTTTTCGATTTTTCCAAAGAATAAAATAAAATAAAATATAAATTTCAAGAAGGGAATTAAAGAATTTACATGACATTGTTGCAATTTTTTTCGACTAAAATTATTACAGAAACTTGGTGTTTTTTTATTTGAATATTTCACATCTCAACCTAATTTGAGAAAATTCATAAGTTACGAGATGTTTCTATCTCGCTTTGAGACAAAATTTTGAATTTTTTTCTCAAATTTTTTTAACAAGAAAGGCCGTTTTACTATGCGGTTTTCAGAATCAAGAGCTAAAAACTGCCAGAAAACTTCTTGATGAGAGAACATTAAGATCCTGAGAGTTCCAAACTGCGACAATTCCAATTTTTGAGATTAAAGGAGCTCAAAAAAAAAGCTATTACAACTGATTCAATTGGGTTTTCTTTAACTTTAAAGTGTTCTTTTCCGAAAAACTAGGAAGTTTTACAGATGTGTACTCAGAAAATCATTCAAAAAAAAAAACATGAAGAAGCAATCTAACTTCCAGAAACTTCCCAACCGCAAAGAAATTGACCTTGGAAAAAATATAAATAAATGACAAGTATTTTTCTTCAAGAAAGAAACCTCAACAACGTTCCCCCAGTTAACGGGAACATCTTCGCATCCCTTCCGCAAGCCGCGCGCAACATTTTCGCGGCGAGACCCTTCCTGCGAGCCGTCGAATGCGTCCAAATCCGGTCAACGCCGATGATTGGCCGATCTTCACGGGTCGCTTTGATTTCCTCAAAAACTAACTCATTTTTTCGACTAAAAATCGATAAAACTTCTTTTCCGCCTTCAATTTTGGCGCGGACAAGCCTATCGGTCACCAGGACTGATACGAGGATTCGGAGAGGCGATTTCTGAACAAAAGTCTCGTTGACACAGGCGAAAACGGTCCGGCCTGGGGCCCACAGTAACTCGTTTCCACAGTAACCAATGTCCTCGTCAACTATTGTCTGAAAATGTTTTTTGAAGCTTCGAAATTGGCTGGAGCAGTTCTTAGATGGATTTTTAAGGGAAAAAATTGCCCTTATTGAAAAGTAATACCAAAACTTCGAATATTTTTCTAAGAACTTCTTTACCAATGCTAAAAGCGGTTCTGAACCTTTGAGAAAATTATTTTTGTTGAGAAAGTGGACAATCTGATAATGAATAGTTGCAACCATTTTTATCTGTTTTCTTGATTTTTTCTGAAACAAACCTCGATAATATTCTCCAAAAACGCTTTCAGAGCAGAATTGGTATGGCGATCGAGCCGAAAAATCGTGATTCTGCCATCGATCAGATGGGCGCATTTTCTGAATTTTGAACATATTTCCCGCTTCAAAATCTTCGTGAAAACCCGAGCCAAGACGTATATTTTTGAGGCGAAATTCTCAACATTTTCGTGTCGGTCAGCCGATTGTGGAACTCGTCGTGGTGCATCCGATCCTTCACACAATCAACTGAATAAACCATTCCGCACTGAAAAAAAGGAGCAGTAAATAATCAAAAAGTAATGGAAAAGGGTTGAGAAACGCATGAGTACATGTAGAGCTATAAAGCAAAAGATGAAGATTGAAAACGCGCGAAAAAGTATAAATTAGGGCTCAGAACTTTAAAAATGCTCACCTTTTCTAAATTTTCGACACTCTTTTTTTATAAAAAAATTACGATAGAATATGTGTTTTGATTGACAGTAAAATGTTAAATACCCGAAATCAACAGACCTCATGACAAAGAACAGTCCCAATAACGTTTTGGCCAGCATCCAAAGTCCTTTGCTTCAAATCCCCGGCGGCCACAAACAATTTGGGCATTTTGGGTCTTGCTGCGAACATTTTGGGACTGCCCACATCGTCGAAAATCTTCTCCTTCGGACATTTCAAGCCGGAGCTTTCGGATAACCGCTCTGAACGATAATTCATTGATAAGTCACAAAAACATAATATTTAAGATAAATTAAACGGATTTCCAAAAACGTTTCATATTGAACTAAAAATTGTATTTTAATGAAGCTGAGATTTTGGAAAATCTTTAGCAAACATCTTATTAATTTGAAATAAAATAGAATCAACAATTAACAAAAAATAACGAAACAAGAAACAAACAAACTTTTCTTCGGCGATCTCGGCTGGAAAAAGTCGGTTAATCGACGTTTCTTCTGTGGTTCCACGTCCATCACACCTTCATAGCGTTCTCTATAGGAACTTGAATGAGAATTCAAAACATTAAAAAAATAAGGGGAAAAAAAGAAATGAAACTTGAAATTTTGAAAATTTCTATTTTGCGCGAGTTCATTGGAGCGCGATTTGTGTTAAAACTGGGGAGAATTGAAAATTTCAGTTCAAAATAGAAAAATATTGACTTTTTGCACTTTCCAAAGTGTTTCAAGCTACTACAAAAGCTGCATTAATACTGAAGCAACAAAAAAAGTTGAAAATGGGATCGAAAAGCTTAAATTCAAAGACTTGACTTTAAAAAAAAAAACGAAAATAACGATTTTTGTGTGTCTATAGAATAAAAAAATTTTCAGAACGTTAGCATTGTCAGGAAATCATCTATGGAATCAAGGAAAATAGTAAACAAACGGAAAACAACAACAAAACGGGTTTTAAGTTTGACAACGCCGCAGGTAAAAAGATGTTTTCAGCTGAAAACTTCCTTTTCCATCGCTTTTCTTCAGTTATTCCGTATATTTTTTTAATTTAATTAAACTTTAACTTGATTTCTCAGATAAAAAAATATAAACTTTCAATAAATATGAACACGATAACGACGCAACCGGGAGTCTGGGCGACGAATTTGCAAGATTACGCCAGTTTGTTTCAATTTTTCACTGTGATAATTTTTGAAAAAAAACATCAGTTTCAGTAAATTCAATATATCCTATCCCAGAAGGTCTCCGATACCTGCACAATGTCGATTCGTTATTAGTTCAACAGGTGATTTTTTTGAGATTCTTCCAGAATAAAGAGGAATCCATCAGTTTTTTTGAATAATTTTTAAAAAGATCTTTTTCGAGAAAAATCAAAAAAAAACTGAAAAAAACATGGGATAAATCGTGATGAATTTAATTTCAGAGAGAAACGACCTTTGAAATATTGACTGGCTGGGAAGCGAGGAATAAATACGTTTTGAAAAGTTCGACTGGGGAACAGGTATTTCCACTTAAGATTTTGAAAGAATAGCCAGGAGAAGCTGAAAATTTTCTCATTCTAGCGGCTTATCGAACTCAAAAATCGCCAATTTTCATGGAATTTCCGTGTTTTTTCTCTAGACCTTTCAATGTTTCCTAACGAAACTTGGGTTCCGATCCTTTTTAGGTATACCTAGCAGCTGAGGAGTCAGAATGGTGGAAACGGCAATGTTGCAGACATCGGCGAGCAGCAACTATGCACATTTTCGACAACGCTTCCAGGGTATTCTTTTTTGAATCACGAAGCTAATTCATAGATAAACTGAGCAAAGATCAAAAATTGGGAAACGCACAAAAAGCCACAGTGAAACAGTTTTCATGAAAAAAAAAAATTGTTCATCTAGCCCGTCAGTTATTTGATTTCCTACTTCTCACATCATTAGAAACGCCAGAGAGGTCACTATAGGGAAAAACAGCCCTTTTAGGGGCAAAGTTTAGGTAATCCTATGGGGGGTTATTGTATCAATTATTTTTTTCAGATTGAAAATGAAAAAGAAGTACTTAATAAAAAAATTGATCTATCAGTCCTCTATTTATATGCTCTCATTCAAAAACGTGTTTCGAGTTTTTCGCAAAAAAATGCTTCTTTTCAGAGTCCATAAAAATAATCGATTATATAAATTAACTTAACTAATTTGATCAAAACTGAAAGAAAAAAATTTGAACAAAAATGAAATTTCACGTGAAATGCTTCTGTAAAAGTGGATTGAATAAGTTTCAATGTGGAGTTAATAAATCTGGAAATGGAAATTTTCTCGATTTACCAGGGTTTCGGAATCTCTCCATTATCATTTATCGAATTCTTTCAATTCAATCAGAATTGAAACTATAGCCTGTGTACCACGACTTGGAATTTCACCGAACGACATTCCGCTGTGCCGCTGCACGCCTTTGCGAACCTTGGTCGCGCTTTCAATTTTTTTTTCTTTCATGTGCTCCCACAGCAATAACAATCAATTGAAAGCGTGACCAATATTCGAAAGACGCTTCGCGACGCAGCGGAAAAGCGGAATGTCGTTCGGTGAAATTCCAAGTCGTGGCACACAGACTATAGCATGTCCCCTATAGGGGCTACTTTATCAAGCTTTAATGGTCCCTATAGCCCTAAGTCTAGTATAGGCTATAAAGGGTGGTTAAGGGGCCCTAATGTTGCCCCTATAGGGACCACTCTGGAGTTTCTGAGTCCTACGTGCAAAAAAAAGCGATTTTTCGCTGATTCCAAAAAAAATTTTTATTCTATTCCCAACCGATTTTTTCAGCTCAAAATGAAAAGAATGACCGTATTTTCGGAATCAGGGAAAAAAATCTATTTTTTTTTTTTTGAAAAAAATATCAAAGAACTGTTACAGGAAATTCTGATCGTGAAAAAAGAGCAAAAGCTCTTGGCCGGTTGGTTCTACGGTTCTTGTGCTTTTTGTGGGCCTTGCAAGCAGAAATGTACTATGGAATCGTCGTCGGATGGTTTTGTGAGTTTTTTGTTGATTTTTGTAGAAAAAAACTCTGGAATATATTCTTCTTCCAATAATTAATGGTCGCACTGAGAATATATTTATGCGGAGCGGCTAATTTTGCGCCCAGCTTTCGAAAAAACAAAGAATAATTTTAATAATCACTGAACTTTGAACCAAACCGCTCTCAGGGACGACAGAGGGGGCCCGAGAGGGTTTAGGGAAAGAGGGAAAATCTAGGGGAAAAAATAATGCTCTCTGGGTTCTAAACCTCAAAAAGGAGAGAGAAAAACCTAGGTGGTCCCTGCAGGGGTCTAGGTTTTCCCACAGAGCGACCGCTCTTGCAAGCTTTACTGCTTCCTCCAGGGGGTGTTAGGTTCTCCCTAAGGGGCACCTTAAAGTTCGCCCCTATAGGGTCCACTGTGTTGTTCCAGAGCCATTCCAAATGCGACCAAAGTTTTCCATAAAAAAGTACATTCAATCCCATTTTCCAGCTCGGCTCAGTCGAACAAACGCAAGCCTTCTGCCGCACAACTTTCGACATTAAAGACTCCGATGAGAAAACTGTTTTAAAAGTATTGGAAATTTCCTCTCAACTCAATGAAAACCCCATCAATCTTCAGATCGAGGGCCCAAAATGCTGCGGCGCGTTGGAGTGCCTCGACTTTGTCTATGCGGTGGCTAATTAACCCAAATACCTAATTGGTCCCAATTTTTGCAGGTTAAAAACTTGGACGGTGAGAAAATTGGCGAGATTGCCAACACTTTTCCACGGGAATCCCTTCAGAATTACCGCGACGCCGACCTTTTCAGTGTGAAATGTGGGATTTCATCGAATATTGGAATAAAAATTGAGAAATTTCAGTTCCAATGGATTTGAAAATCAAGTTAAAGGCCCTTCTCATTGGAGCGACTTTTCTTGTTGTAAGTTTTTTTTTTTGAATACTTGAAAAAATATGTTTTTGCAGGACTTTAACGACTTTGAGCGTTATCGTCAACGGCATCAGATATTGTAAAAAAATTGATTTTTTTAATAAAATTAATTTTAAAAAAAGCGGATTTTTCCACATGACGAAAAAAAGCATGAATTGGTGTCAGTTGGTCCACAAAAATTCAACAAAAAAATAGAAAAATTTTAACCTTGAAATTTAATATCTGTAATAAATTTAAAAAGAAGTTTTTTTGAACAAGTTATAAGCCTCTCAAAAAAATTTTCCAGTCTTTTTATGGTTACTTCGTTACAAATATATTTTCGAAAATGGCGAAACAATGCTGGAAAAAATATCGAGCCAGTTTAAAATTTTAAAAAAGTGACAAAAAAGCCGGAAAAAGATCTTTACTTAAAAAAAAAGAACGAAAATAAAAATGCTTTTTCTTTCACAGTTTTTTGAGTAGTTAGATACATTTCTGAGTTCTTTTAAACTTTGCCTACATACGGGGATCAATATGAAACTTTTTCGGCTCTATGGTACACGGAAACAAGAGAGATAATCCGCTAAAACCATGTGGTTTCAAGAGAAAGTCCGCGAAAATTGCGCTTAATAAAATGACAGTTCAATTGATTGAAAGAAACGTCTCTTTTGTTGGAACTCAAAACTGTCTGACTTCTCTGCGCTCTCTTGCTTTTTCCCAGTCGCTTCGACCTCGTCGGCGAGATGAAAGAGGGCCAAGACAGGCCAGAGTGTTTCGAGATTTCGTGTTTTCATAGCGTAAAAACTCGAACAGATAATATTTGATTTATCTAGGCCGATCAGTTTTTCTCCCTCTGATTTATGTTTTGAACCCACTTCCGCCAATGTTGAAACTGGATTGTCGGTTTTAATTTCCCTATGATCTTTCCGCAACAAGGTGTTCGGCTTATTATATGACCGTACAGCTAGGGACCGCAAGCCATTTCTTCAGAACGATTCAAAAAATATGTTTTTCACATTGTTCGATAGAGGAGACTGTCCATTTTCATAATCCGTTTAGTTTTTGAAAAAAGCTCCACTAAGAAAAAAGTTATGGCCAAAAAACGAGCGCGCGCGGCGTACAACTGGAGGCAAAATCTCACGGTTTACCCGCTGCCGCACGCTTTCTTTTTAAATGTTTTTTTGCGCGTTTCTGGACCGTTTTTTTAAATCGGTTTTTCTGTTCTGAGAGGTTGTCCGAACTGAGCTTCATGTTTTTGGTATGAATCTTTTGTACAATCCTCATAAGAATTTTTTTGATAAAATATCAAAAAAACTACCTAGAAAAAAAGGTCAAAGGGATTTTTTTCAGCTTATTTTTTTCTTTTTTTCTACTCAGAAAAAAATTATTATCATTCGATTTGGAAAAAAAGAAAAAAATGAAAAAAATAATGTTATTTCGAAATAAAACAGGAAAAAAAGTGCAATTTGACTCCGAAAAAAACGGCTCCTGCGACATTTAAAAGGGCGCATCGGTGTGTTTGACGCAAACACTGCTACGGACACTTGCACGAAATCTTCCGAAATTTCAAAAAAATTGCCATTTTTTTCGAGGTTTTTCAAAGCCGTTATTTTTTTCGCGTCG